GCTGATTAGAATGGATTAAAAACTTTCTTGATTATTTGATCAGATTTTATAAAGTGGGACTGGCTGAGAACATTTCAGCACTTATATATATATATATATATATATATATATATATATATATATATACTTTTGTCAATTAGGCATTAAATTATGTCACCTAGCATCCTCCCTAATTTAGCCTGATAAATAATTATGAGCATTTCTTAAATTTAAACTTTTTTTAAAAACTAATAACATTTTTACTATTGCTAATAAACACTTGTTGCAGAAAAAAAACTTTAAATTTGCTTTGATAAAGTCTATCAGAGGACAAAATGTGTTGGCTAAGATAAAATTTCATTCATTATTCATATATAAAATATAGTTTTAATGTATTCTATATTTATGGGCCTAAGGGTTCAATAACAGGTATGGACCGAATGTAAATATAAAAGTGGACATTGAGATCCACATTGAGCAGTGAGCAGTCTGTTACATGCTTGAAGGCTATCTTCAAGCTATCTCGGGCTTGAAGATTACATTTTAGCAGGAAAGAGACTGCTACTACTTTATATATATATATATATATATATATATATATATATTCTTAGACTTGAAATTTGATCATACAAATAAATGGGTGACAAATATTTGATCTGAAGAATTAGAATCAAATTTCGATTCTAAGGAAATAAATTATAATCACCATGAACCCTTAAAGTTGTCTCTTTCTTAATATAATTAATATTTGCTCTGTTTTTACATTGAGCTCTCTGGATTATATCTTCCTTGGAATTATCCATAAAGATTACCAAACACATCTTTACCTATATATATATATATATATATATATATATAATTTTTATTATAAGAGATTAAAACAAAAACATGTTGAAATCGTTACACAATAGCTTTCGTGTTTCTGCACAATGTTGTGCCTCTTCAGGTGATGGTAAGTGACTGCTAATTAAATGATTTTTAAGAAAATTTCAAAAGCAAAGTGTTATTTCCCTTTTCGAAAGATAAAGGTGGTATAAGGAAACACAAGGTCAGAATTAAAAATAGACTTGTGGGTTTGTCTTGATCAACCAATCAAGTGTCAGATCTATGCTAAATAGAAAATAAAGCTCAGAGGGTGTAGGTGGGGGAGTTATTTTTTCACAACATGATAAACCGGAACTTAGGCAGGTCATCATTGATAATTTGCAGAAAACATGCAAGCAACAAATGTACAGTGATTGTAGACAAATATGACATGTTCAATTTTTGAAAGGGGAAGGGTAGGAGGATAATCAGGGGTAAAGTTAATTTTAGCAGAAAATTTTATTTTGTTTTTTAAATTTCAGATTCAGGAAGTTTCTTAAAGGAACCTCTAGATAAAATTAAAAATGTGAAACATCTATATAAGATATTAATAATACTAACTAGACAGCAATAAATAGCAATACTAAATCTGAATAAACAAAATAAGATAATTACTCTTATATATATTTATGTATACATATATGTATGTATGTATATATATATATATATATATATATATATATATATATATATATATATATATATATATATATATATATATATATATATCTATATGAATATGTATGTATATATATATATATATATATATATATATATAAAATTCAAAATTGTGTTTGAAAAAAATAGTTTATAAAGTACTCACCTGTCTGAGATTCTTGTTAATAAATTAATCAAAATTATTTTATAAGGGAATTAGGAAAATAGGATTTATATTCTTTTCAACTTCTCTGTTAGAACCTGAAGATGCTAAAGGCTAATTGTATCCTTAACAAATCGTTATGTTTTTTGTTTCTTTCAGTTTCAGCCCTACCTGTGCCAGCCATTGGTGGCATTGTGGGTGGCCTTGCCTTCTTGCTCATAGCAGTCATTTTAGCTATTATAGCTGTTATCATCAGCAAACGAAAACAAAGGAAGAAAGCCAAAAAATATGGTGAGTTGCTAAGTGATTTGTTTCTTTTTCATACCCAATATAGGAATCAAATTTATTTACAATCTGTTTGTAGTAATTCTATAACTATTGTCATCACCACAGTGCTAATATTTCTCATGTTTTCAAAATCATCAATACCCAAGTTATCATTTAAGTTTCATGAAAATTATTACTATTATGATTATCCATACTTATAGTTATCTAAATTATTACTATCCATACTTATGTAGATATTTTTAAATGCTTGTCTTCTTATTTTGTATGTTGGTTTTATTATAATTTTTGAATATGTTTTATTTGCTGTTATTATTTTGTTATTATATGCTATCATTCTTCTGTTAAATGTTATTATCATTAGGTTTCTGACTGTAATCATTACCAACTTTACTTTCTTTATACGATTATTATTTATATAGCGATTATTTCTTTTTATTTAATTTTTATTATTCCTATTATGATATTTCATGAGACTTTCCTGTTTTAATCATTAACGTTATGTGTATTACAATACTATATTTAATATTATTGCATCATGTCTGTATCATTACTATATTTTCATTGTTATAGTGCTATGTTATGCAACACGATAGTTGCTTTCATGTATAACTTTGTATAAAATCCAAAAATAAAGATATCATATTGAATAAAATGAGATTTCAAAAATATTGCTCAAATTTAGAATATAAAGGTAGCTCATTGAAAATAGAAATGGCTGCTGGTTTCAGTATGCTTTTTTATTTATAAGAAAAGATAATTGTACTGCTTTTCACTGTCCAAACACATTTTGTTATCATCTTTCCACATCATTACATTATCATTTATTCCTACCATAATGATTTGAAATTATATTTCCAAACTAGACTGTTATGAAGTACAATTGTACTTCTATTTCTAAACTAGACTTTTATGAAGTACACTTCTATTTCCAAACTAGACTTACATAAAGTACAATTGCAGACTTTTTTTGTAAAATCAGAATCAAAACAAAGGATGAATATTGGAAATTTGGCTTATTTTAGCCCCCCCCCTTCCTCCTGGTGCCAGTTTGAAGTGATACATTCTTTTTTGCCTATATTATGACATTTGCTTAAATTCATATTTTCTTGATTTCAGATGAAAACATATTTTGATGAAATTTTTACTTTCCAAAATTATCCTTATATATATATATATATATATATATATATATATATATAGTGATGTCAGTTTAAACTGATACCACTAGAATACACATACTTTGTATATATAAATGGTGGTGCTAGTTTAAACTGATACCACATACTTTATACCTGTAGTTAAAGCAACATAATTATAAAATTTAATTTCTGAAAGTATTTCACTTTGTAAAGTCCTCTCCTCGGCTACCTATTATCAAGACATATTGTAATATATTGCAATATTTCATAGTGAGGAGCTTATACTGTAAATTTCATGACCTGAACCACTTCACAAAATAGGACCAAATGACCAAGCATCAGAATTTTGAGTAAAATTCCTTGTTGGTTATATATATATATATATATATATATATATATATATTTTAGAAAGTGTGAGAGTGTGGACATAGGAATCAACACTGCATGGTAACTGTCTGTGCCTACCTCATGTGATCTTCAGCCCATTTATCATTAGTCCTTTAGCAGTCTCACTATATACGTTACTGCAGGACTCTAGGGAGTGAAAGAAGATCCAGTCCTTCCTAGTTTTTAGGGATAATGCTTTGGGTCTTTTATGGCCATGAACTTCATATTGCTTATTTTATTTATGTATTTTTATTATATTTATTCATTTATATATTTCATTAATTTCTTTATTTGTTTTGTATATGGTCTTATGATTACTTAAGGCATGACATTGACAATCCCAATGCAGTGTTGATTCCTACATCCACACTGTATCTGTAAACTCTCTATCTCCCATGGTGAGCACTCTTCCTCCCAAAAAATAACAAATTTTAAACTACATGCAGAAATATCTTTTATGGTAACAATTACCATTTGTAACCTTTTTGTGTAAAACTATAATTTCTCTTCTATTATCAATGTCCAGACCAGACAGGGGAAGTAATTTCACAAGTAAATTTTCTCTGCCAAATGTATTTTCTACTTTTCATTTGGAACTTACTAAGAAGAAATGGAAGTTTTTATTTTTATTTATTTATTTTTTTAGGCTACTAATTGTATATATCTTTACTGTGTGGGAAAAAAAAAAGAACAATACCATCCATTCCCATAACCAGTGTTGCTTAATATGAATCATGACAAATGTTAACAATGACAATAACAAATTTTTAATTTACAAAGGTTTTCTTATTATTTTTAGTCGATAAACATGTTTGTGTTGACATCACTGCTATTTTAAACAGTGAGGTTAATGTTAACTAGCCAAGAGATAAAGAAGTTCTTATTAATTGATTTATTATGATGGTTTACCATGGACTAATTGATAGGGCACACTTCACCTGAAGAACTAGTTTCCCTGATGAATATACGTACATGCATATATATATATATATATATATATATATATATAGTCATCCACAGACAGTTTCACTGTCTCACAGCTCCTCAGTATAGCTAGACATCCGATTGCTTCAAGCCAGGATTGAAACCCAACTGATTTGACATCAGTCAGATATCTTACCTCTAGACCATCATTGCATGGCAGAAAGGAAGGGAATTTTAATGTTTTTGTCTATACAAAATACACCAGCGACTTGGAGAATTCAAATATATATATATATATATATATATATATATATATATATATATATATATATATATATATATATATATATATATATATAAGAAAACATTTGTCGAATAGAATGAAATGTATATACTTTGATACAATCAAAATGTTTTATATTTGCTCTGAAAAATAATGAGAACATTCATTTGTAAATTTGGACGCCTGAAAAAGATTATTTAAGAAAAAATTGGTTGTTTTTCCAACCATATACGATTCAGTCAATGACAATAAAAATGATAATAGAATTAGTTAGTAAATATTAGGTGCAAGCAAAAGTTACCAAAGAAATTAGGTTTATGGCCATATCATGTTCAAACACTGGTTCACATATGATCACCAAAGTTAAGTAACACTGAGCCTGGTCAGTACCTAGATGGGTGACCACTTGGGAATACTTAGTGCTGTTAGCTTAGATCTGCAGATGGTATAATGGATAATGGCTCAAAATTGTTAGTTGAAGAGCCAAGTTCTAATTCTCATTATATTCACTTACATGCAAATACCCTTGGGAAAGGTAGAAATCTACCTTTTCTCCCTCAAGCTATGGGCTAATTAGTAAAATTTGTATCACAATATCATTATCATCTCCAAAAACAAGAAAAATTCTGAAATCTAAAAATGTTTTCTGGCTTTAAATAACATGCAGTGTGTTGATAAATCCTAAAAGATGAGTGATCAATCAATCAACCAAAGAAATGAAAGTTCCCAACTCTATCTCCAATCTCTAGCTTTTAATTTTCCTAATAAGTAAGTTTTAATAAACGCAACTCAGGAACCAAATGAAAACTACACTTCTCATTGGCTAAAAACAATAACTGCCATTCTGAATGAGTACTTCGAATAACAGTTAAGGGCAAAAGAGAATCCACACCTCTGATTGGCCAAAACACCAATAGTCAAAAATTTAAACAAATTCCGATTGGTCAGAATTGCTACATAGGATTAGATAAAAGGATCTCATTTGCATAGGCAAGTATTGTTTACAATTCTTGCAATCATGCAGAATCTATGTCAGAATGCTAGTCAAGAAATGATCATTCTCAGTTGGGGTATATGGGAAAGAAATTCTGATGTCATGGAGGCCCGAAACATTTTATGACACCAGAATAGACATCACTAAGGAAGCATTCTAGTACGCAATATGTTCACATAAAACAAACATATACCCACAAAGGAGAGAAGCATATTTGATATGATTATTAAAACCAAAATTATTAAACACATTTTTTTGTGTGTCATAGAATTTAAGTTTAGCTTGAACTATATAAATTTTGTTTATTGTCCATATTTATATGATTTTTGTTTTCTGTTAAAATGATTTTTATTCTCTTTAATTCCCTTACTTTTCCCTCCTCTCCTACCTTCTGCATTTATTTGCATACATGCATGTGTGTATGTTGCATATATTGTTTAATTTTGCTGCATCTTGATACATATCTGTTGAAACTTGACTAATGCATGAAATAATAATGCAACACAAAATGTACTTAGAACAAAATGTATTGAAACAAGAAAGTGTACACAATATTTACATATAGTCTTTTGTATATTCCTGGTAAGACCGTTCCTGGTGAATGTGTTGACTGAGTCGCAGTTGGGCAGAGTCTCTGGTTGAATCTCTTGATTCCTCCCTCTCTTCCCAGTACCAGCCATATTTATATGGTCGGTACTCCACTATGCAAATTAGGTGGATCCTACCACAACAATATCTATGCTTAGTTTACTTTGGTTTCTTATATGTATGATTCTCTCTTTTTTCCCTCTCTCTCCATATATATATATATATATATATATATATATATATATATATATATATGGACTCTCCCATCATATTTGACGTATGAGGGGCAAGCAGCTCAATTCCTAGGAATCATCAGCCCAGACACAAGCACATATGATTTGATTATAGTGCTGAAGGCTTTGTGCAGAACCAATCACACTTTTTGAAGGGTCAAATACAGAGATATGGTGCACTATGTGCCACAAGGTCCCCAAACAACTCTCCGCAGGGTTTGAATTCAGAGTTGTCCTTCTAGACCAGTAATCATTCAAGGCTATAGAACCCAGTCTGTCCTGCTATTTACCCATAGCTGGAGGGAGAAGAGGAGGATTAATACCTTTCCCAAGTTTATTAGAGTACACACACACACACATACATATATATATATGTGTGTGTGTATGGCTACTCATTTTCCAAGCACACTAAGGCAGTTAGCCAATCTCTGTTGCAGATGCCTGCTTAGGTACATTTGTGTTTGTTCAACACCCACAGAGTGCACCTGTGGTTGATACTGCAAATATACTGAATGGAACTTACTGTTTCTGGCAATGATTAGCCATTTGAACAACACCAGTATGCTCAAACTCTCAATCCCAATGGCTTATTACATGCTAGCACAACCAATGATGACTTCCGACCAGTTCTCTCTACCCAGTTTTACTTACAAGACTCAGGTCAAACCATGGGCTATTTTTCAGGCACTTTCTAAAGGTGCCACACACTGGGATTGCCTCAAGAAGTCAATCCTGACAAATTAGCTATAGTGAGATTTGAACCTGGGTCTCAGTGTCAAAAAGCAAATGTTCCAGCTACTCACCCATGTGCCTATCTCTTCACTCTCTATACACACACACACATACACACATAAAACAATAACAAAAAAAAACACCTAAACCATCATTTTTATGGAAAGTGATGTTTTTGAAGCAAGTTGTATTTGTAATGCTCGATATCAAGATCAAGGTCAGCGCTAGTGTGTTGTCCCGTCTCCCAAAAAACAACTTTGATATAGGGCCCACTCTCTACTACATGTTGAGTTCAAAGTATCCCAAACTGGGGCCCACAAACCCTCAAAGGAAAATCAGGGAAGAAGGGCAGCAGTTTTTTTAAATTACCAAAAATCAGGGAATTATCCAATTTAAATGAAAATTTCAGTTCAAATTCATTATTTACTTTTATAATAAATAGATCTTTTTATTTGTTAAACTACACACTGAATAAAAAATAGCAGCCTTAAATTGCTTAAAAAAGCTGTTCAGATTTTGGGAAGATACTAATATTGTAGAAAAGAATGTACATTTTTATTTAATTTTTTAATTCATAAATGTTTTTAAATTCTTAATTGATATTTTCTGTACTATTTTCATAAATTTAAATGTTGAAAGAGTGGTACTCTGAAAATTAAACTCCAGAGTGAAAATTGTTAAACTTAAAATTTTGTGATTGTCAAAGATTTATTTTTTGTGTTTATTTTATCTGGATTTAATCTTTCTGGGAAAGTAACAATTTAGGATTTTTTTAAATTTTTTTTTTAGTAAAATTTTATCATACAAATTTACAGGGTTGGTAATTTACAAAAAGAAAAATATTCCTTATTGTTTTTCAACTAAGGGGAAGCATATCAAGTTTTATTGTTTTTTTTTTTTTTTTTTAAATATGTTATGATAGAAAAACAGTTAAGTTCTTTGCATGATAGATAACATTCTTGATGATTGTAACACAAGATTTTTAAAATTGAAGTTCAATGAATGTTTTTATTTTTTTGATAATATATTACGTCAAAGCAGAGTAATCCACACTTTTTTACTATTTTAATTTAGCAAGTGAAACTAATGAAAAAGCATAAATACATTTAAATTTTTTTCAAACCTTTTTGGTTTGAAAATAATTTAAACGTGTTTTTATTTTTTCACTAGTAACAAAAAAAATCAATGAAGTTTATTTTTTATAGATTTGAATAAAACATTCTTTTTCATGAAATAAATATGTTAGAAGGCTGTTAGCAAACTGTTATGTTGGCATCCAATTAATCACTTAAAATTTCCTATAAAAATATCTAGCCAAATTCTTCCAGTTTGTCCTCTTATAAAACTGGCTGTCCTTAGATGTCTTCTTGTGTGTCTCTAAATTTATTATTTCATTACCTCTGGTAATTGCGTATTAAAGACAAAGAGAAGGGAGAGATAGCATGTGTGGCACACTTAAAGTATAACCTTTTTTTAAGTAGAGTTTTAATTACACTTCCCCGAGCCCACACACAAAATGCAATGATCTGACTTCATGTGATTCCCAGAGTATTTTTAATTTTTCACAAAAGAGAACTAAGAGAATTGTTATAAAAATTTGTTTTAAAAACAGTATTTCAGTTTTGGGGAAAATTTTTCATGTGTTGAAATCTTTAAACATTTTTATTTTTTAAGCAATCATTTTCTCAGTTTTATCTTTTTAGAAATGTAAAAAATAGAGACTATAAATTTTATTTTAATTATGACCCGTGGACGCAAAAAAAAAACACGCCATCACTCCCCTCCACCCCAACTCCCACTGGTTGGGATGGGTGGTAATACGCTCAAGCCCTGGTCAAGAGATAGAGCATTAATAATAATAAATCAAATTCAATGTTCACTTATCTTCTCTCAATTATGAGTTCTGCAGAAATTACATAGACTCTTCAGAAGACTTGATTGTAAAATTTTATCAATCAAGTTTCCTCAAGAGTGTATATAATTTCCATATAACCTCAAGTAAAATAAATAAACATTTAATTTTATTACATGCACACACACACACACACACACACACACGTATATATATATATATATATATATATTGCAAGTGAGAAAGCGAGTTTTTGTTGCCTGGTAGTTGCCATTCCAGCATAATACTTGTAGTGGCAATTTTAAAGTCATTTGCATGTTTATTTGTTTTAGCTATTGCTATATCCACTTGTTGATACTGAGCACACTTTTATTTTGATGATTGCAGGTCTAGCAATAGTTCTGTTGACTGGATTAGTTATTTCTTTTATATATATATATATATATATATATGGTGTATTTAGGCAGCAAGAATTCTTCCTTTGATTAAATTCCACCAAGAGATCTGTCTACAAGATTTTTTATATCTTTCTAATTTCTGAATGAAGGATTCTGAATGAGGTACATTGAGAGTGAAGTTATGAATTGTCCAATATTTTTTCTTGTTATCTTTAAGTACTTAGATGAAAGAGTGCTGAAAATTTCTAAGTAAAACATTTCAAAGGATCTAACCGAATATCCAAAAATTAGTATTACTTGGAGAATCCCTTAGACCTTTCTTGTATGTCTGTGCATATATACATAATGTAATGGACTAAGTCCAATAATTATAAGTCCATATAAACAAATAATTATTGGACTTAGTCCATTTCATTGTATATTGTCATTGTATATGTTAAGATGCCTATCTTGAGCAGATATGATTGATCGAGAAAAATTGTTGGAGATAAGTGTGTTTAAAAAAATTAATTTGTACTTTGTTAACCAGAGCTTCTCTATAGCTATGTTCAGTTCCATGTAGGATGCAGGTTCAATTCCTGTTGTAGAATGCATATTTTCTATGAAATTTCTTGAACATTCAGATCAGTAA